TAAATAATAAAATAATATATATTTTTTAATATAAATATATAAAATAAAATTAAATTAATAAAATAATGATTGAAGTGATGTTTATAAAAAAAATTGATTGGCACAATTTCCAAAAAAACTCACACCCTTATGGCACCCCCTAGAAAAACCCAATCGGACTCTTTTTCAACCTTGAAATCCGAACTTTGTGCATCCAAATTACATCATTACCCGTTTAATTTGGTTGCTATTTTCAAGGTTATCACCTAGTCAACGCCATATAACATAGGAATTGCTAGGGGTGAATTGGATATGGTATCAAGTGTTTTTTCTTTAATACCATGCACCAACCAATTATAATTGTTACGTAAAATCTTATACTATGTATCAATTAATTGTACTTGGTACTAACTTTTTTCAGTTGGTATCGTTTTTGCACCAACTGCAAATACACATATGAAAACTTGCTATGTTCAAATTCTGAGTGACTATTTGAGTTGTTAGGTAACACATTTAACGGTTAAGGGTTTTTAATTGTAAGAAATAACACTTGAAAACATTCAAATGTTCAAATAAAATAGCTAAAACTACAAAGTTTAATATTCAATGTATAAAAATACAAAAACTAATAAATAATTAAATAAGTCGGTATCATGCCGTGTATCCACCAAGTTTACATACTTGATACGATACTATCGACCGATTGTAATTCGTTCTCTATCAATATTTCTGATAGTTTATAACCTTTAACTGAAAATTTATAAACAAATAAGAACAAGAAACCAATATTTATTTGGTCATACCATTTTGTGCTATTTGTAGGTCCTTTTGACACCTCCCTCATCGTTGTATTTTTATTTTGAAACAAGACATGACAGAAATGATAATTTGATTACAAATTTAGCAGATACGAATAATTTTCAATTTATGAAAGAAATAAACGACTCAAAGTTGAGATCTTCTAGCTAATACACCAAAACGTGCTCGCCGGATATTGCTCTTGCGTTTCATGAACACAACCGTAGCAAACCCGATCAAACCCGCACCCGCTAAAACTCCAAATACTATCCCAGCCTTTTGTCCCCCGCTCAGTCCTTTAGAGGACCCACCACCGCGATTTTGTGGCAGCACAAAACCACCACCGCCGCCACTGCTGCCTCCGCCAGATGAAGGTGGTGGTGTCAGCTTTGGTGGAGGTTGTGGTACTGGTGCTGGAGATGAAGCAGGCGCTGAGTGGCGGTAGTGGTAGAATGGTGAAGGTACAGGGGACATGGCCTGAAGTGTTCTTCGGGAACCCTCTAAGGTGGGGAGTGGTGCTAGAACCAGAACCAAAAATAAAAACGGTCTAAAGTGTATTGCCATGGTTTCGGGTTTCGAAAACTGATCGAAAATGGGGTTTTTATATAATAAAAGATGTGATGAAAACAATGGGTTTCGGTGGCAAGAAAACAAAATGAGATTTATAGCATATGTAAATCCGAAAAACAGAAAACTTTGTGCTGGAGAATCCGTCAATAAACACATAAGAACAAAACACAATTCGATGAACGATCGTATACATATAGTTAATAGAACAAAGATTCTACATATCACAGGTAAAATTTTGACTTTTAACAGAAAATAGCGTAAAAAAAAGTCGAATTTTGACTTCCGAATTTTGACCATCTATATATTATCCATTCCAGGTAGTAACAACATATGCTAGTTTTGAAGTTAGGACAGAAGTTATGGAACCTCATATAGTCATAATTCATCCTTCAGTTCTTTATTGCTGGAGCTTTCTGACTCGGGCTTCTGAGTTGACTCCGGTTTCTGAGTTGACTCCGGTTTCTGGAGCTTGAAAGGGATGGCGGCGTGTTGCTTGAGGAACTTGTAGAAAGCTTTCACCGTTCTATCTGTATCTACTGTGATCTGCAGAACCCAAGTTCAAAAGTTTTGAGGAATGCATAGAAAAATTAAGAAATGGCGATTTTGTGAGTCGTTTAGCAGAGGCACAAACCGGATCAAAGCTCTTATTGCCAGCCGGGAAGAAAAGAAGTGTCGGGTATCCATCAGACTGGAGAAAGATAAAGCGTAGAACGTCAAGAGAATTTAAGAACAGATATGTTGTTAAATGATACAAAGCTTAATCTTGAAAAGTACCTTAGCTCGAGGGTGTTCGTTTGTGGTGCCATCCATCTTGGCTATAACAAGGGAATTGATGCCTCTAAGATGTTTTGCAAGTTTATTGTAAGTTGGTTCAAGTGCTTGGCAATGGCCACACCATGAAGCGTATATCTGATGCGCAAAATTTAGATTATTTCATTCACAATCGATCAATACATAAGGATGCATCTTTTAACACGTTGATCAAGCAGTGTACCTCTAGAAGAACATCCTTTGACTCGTCCAAAACGATTTCATCGAAATTATTACCGACGACTATTTTTACATCCCCATCATTCTGGACCAAGCAACAATAAGAAGAAAGTTATAAATGAGGCTTACGAGATGGAGCTAACTGCTTACCCGACCCTACCTCTGTGCGGGATTTACTGGGTTTGTGAGTGGGACCATTTTCACAAAAAACCCGGGCTTCATTTGCTTACTGAAAACAGGCTTGAAAGGCCCGGAACTTGTGCATCTCTAGTATGACCTACAGCTTACCGTTTCTGGGATTGGATCAGATTTGAAGAAGGGCTTGAGGTTGTCTTCTAGGAAATTTTCCCCAAACGTCTATAAATTGAAAGAAAACACATTTTGGTCAATTCGTTTAACTTTCTTTCGGTCTTGAATGTAAACAAATCGATAATGACACAGTCCAATGTTGCAAACCTTGATGTTGTTCAAAGTCAATTCACCATCCAAAAAGAACTTGCGAGCATCATCATTTCCGGTGAACGCAATAACCTGCAAGAAAACGGCGCCATGACATGATCACATTAAAAAGGTCAGGATACATAATAAACCAAACCAAAACAAACGTACACAGGATATCCCACCAGGAGGCGATAGGGTCTAGAGAGGGTAAGATGTACGTAGACCATATGTCTACCCCTAAGGCCTAAGGGTAGAGGCTGTTTCCATGATGACCCCCCGTTTTATGAAACAATTTTTTTCTTAAAAGGTTGGGACTTGGGAATACGTAATGAAGGTACAAATACTCACTCTCGGAGTATCTCCCTCGATGCTAAAGTATTCTGCAACTGGTTTACCAGCATCTTCATCGTCCATTGGAACATACACAAAAAGAGCCTGCAGGCAAACAAACGTAAAACATGAACAAAAATATTGAAACCGGACATTGGCGAACTGACAAGTGCATTCGCTAAAAGAAGTACAAAAAAAAGAACACTAATAGCCAGAGTAAACGATACTATGCATCACTTGTAGTTCTGTTGCAAATTAACCATTAAAAGTTGCCGATGTGTGTTTACACCAATTTTCATTCTGGACATTGATAGATACAAAAAAGTACGTATCGATGAATGTTCCAAATAAACTTGCAAACTTTAGAAATTAAACTAGAATTCAGAAAGAGAAGTACAACACCATTTTTCTTTGACTGGTCAACTTCTTAAACCATAATATTTGGGTTATTGGTGCTAATAAACCATCAGTCTTGCTACAGTGCAAAAAGAACGTTATAGGACACCAATATACTGACCTTTCCCATAAAATCTTTTGCTGCCTCTTGAAATGTGGGAAGAAACTTATCCGTATCATTCAAAGTAGTAAAAAGGATCACCTGTCGAAGAACAACCGGTAAAACCAACAAATGTACCGTTCTGTTAGCATCATAATCACACACACAATAATAATTATTTTGTACTTATTTGTACGATTTATGTCGACTTTGGCCCATATAGATAAATTGTACGCTCATTATGTCGAACCAAATCCATCCGATTTCTTCTTGGCTCAGTAAGGGCCTGTTTGTTAGCAGCTTAATGAGCTTAATGGGACTCACAGCTTCTTCAGTTGGCTATACATGGTTGTTTGGTAGTGGCTTAATGATATAGAAAGTGACTCATTCAGTAAGCATCTAGGAGGGAGCTTTATGCAGAAAGCCAAGTTTTTGCCAAACTTGCTCCTCCCAATTAAAGAACACGCACCTTCCGTCTATGAGAAAACCCTCCAAAACAAAAATCTCCCCAATCCACACACACAACTTTATCCATACAGGACTTAATGGAAAACCAACCAAACATCCCCTATCTATGTCCCCTGTTGGTCCATTTTACATGGTTTTGGGTTATTAATCTATGTTGTGGTTATACTATACATATCTATATTTGGTGGCACATACTGACACCGGATATAAGCAAAAATTCAAGATAGAAACCATTGTCAGCAATAAAGTCCTACCTGATTCTTGATTGGGTTCTCGAATACTTGTGAAGAACTCGCACGAGTGAAGTAAATTACCAGAGGAAGCTTGTTCTTAGAGACAAACTCTGTTATATCTGATTTTATGAACTGGCCTCCTGTAGGTAGGTGATTGTTGGTTAAGATATTGCACTCAATATAGTTACTTGGAGAAGATTGTGTCTAGAGAACTAACCAAAGTGGCTAACTTTTTCATCTTCCTTCTTTAGCAAAACCAAAGCTGGACGTTTCCCTTGTGGGTCGATATGGAAAAGCTTTGCTAGATCAGCATTGGACGTTTGGTAGAAGCTTACTTCATCTTCCTGTTTTGAAGCTGCAGCAAGTTCTTCGCTATCGGGGCCCTACATGCATTAGAAATATCGAAACAAAAACAAAATGAATCATAATCTAATGCTAGATATGTCATATTAAGATACATAATCTAATGTCACATTTTTCATATGCCAATCTTAAAACGAATAGTTGCCAAATTAGGAAATGTTTGATGGTATTTTTGTGTTTTTTGTAACCAAACCCTTATCCAACAAGAATGTGTATCAAGTCATATAAATTCCACAAGGTATCATAGAAAAACAAGCCTTCCATAACCAATAAATGGAGGTGTATATATATATAGCTTCACGTTTTGGGGCTAAAATTATACAAACAATTCCCTTTTTGGGACGTCCAAACGTTTCCCTTTTTAGTGAAGGTTCAATCAAACATTACCTCTACGCCTATTAGTAATCATTACGAAGTTTTGATGGAATGCGTTTTGGTGCTAGAGATTCCTCTAGCTTCTCGATATTAATAGGTATTCTAGATATTTGACATGAGTCAAACCCTTTAAGGTTGGCATTAACTTTGGGATGAAGGAGCAACATTTTCCATTTTTAAATTCGACAAATAATTGAAAATTAAGGCTAAAATCTCGGGTGTAATTAAGGTTATACCACCAAATTTTCAACAAAGCCCACAGCTACTGGTGACTCGCTAGATAATATAAGTTCAGCTTCCTCAGCTGTCGTTAAATTGTGTAGACCAGGACCAATCTTCTTCTTCACCCAAGTCACAATAGCATCCCTAAAGCCACAAAAAGAGAAGTTTTTTAAGCCGTGAAAAAAATTTAAATTCAAATGGGTTAATACTAGCATTCAACGGTATAGCCGGTACCAGAAACAACAAGAAATCATATATCCCTAACGAATTGGGTAGGCCAGAAACAATAAGCTGAAACTGTACCTTAATCAACAACTTCTATACACTCAACGGAATGATATTGAGCATTGATTATGAAATAAGTAGTAGTCTTTACTCTTGAGGGTATGTAAAAGAAACACTTACTAGAGAATTAACTAATCTAAGACAATAACGACAATGGAGTTTATAGTTGACTAAGAAATTCAAATGGGCTATTGAGTTATTCCCAGATTTCAAAATTGATCTAAATTTTTTGACTTTTGATTGGAAAATGATTTAGGGTTACAATTAATTCTTAAATGTCGAATGTATAGTCTTTTAGGAAGGACAGATTGACATTCAAAGATCAAACTTTGACTCTTATTTGCAAGGATTACTAAAATCTTTACTTCTAAACTAGGAGCAAGATCTACCAAATGCATCTTAATGAGACTAATTTACCCCTCTTCTAGTTTTGATTTATCAAATTTAGCAGATATGGAGCTTCAAATTAGATCACACGGCTTGATGTATCAAATGAATTGAATGTTCTTCAAAGCAAAATCAAAGCTATAAGAAATTATCATGAAAACAAAATCAATATTCATATATATATATATAGAGAGAGAGAGAGAGAGACTAACTTGTTCCTGGCACCATTATAAGGCTTATGAACGCCATCAATGAAGAAGAAGACAGTAGGATATCCTTCGACATTGTACTTTTGGGCCAGTTCAGTCTCCTCCGCGGCGTCCACCTTCGCCAGCACGACCTCGTCCGCCTTCAACTCCGTCGCCGCTGCCGCATATTCCGGTGCCAGAGCTTGACAATGGCCACACCACGGCGCGTAAAACTCCACCATAACATACCTATACTTCTCCAAGAAATCGCTGAAATTCGATCCCTTCAAAACCACCACATCACTCTCGTCAATCTCCTCTTCCGGAGCCGATTCTGATTCTGGGTATTCTCCCTCCCCGTCTCCAAAATCATCCAGATCATCATAATTCTCGAAATCATGGTCCTCGTAACCGTGATGCGCTGATCCGGCATCCTCTAGCTCGTCTTCCTCTAGAAAGCTAAGATCTTCATCATCAAGATCATGCGTTTCCTTACAGAAAGCGTTGAAGCATAGCAGAAGTAGAATCGACAAAGAAAGGATAAGTGACCTCGTAGCTGCCATTGTAGCCGGTTAGACCTTGAAAACACACAGATGGTAGAAGAAAGTGTGAAGCTTGTGAATCTTATGTGGGAATTTGTACAACTGGCCCTTCGAGAATGTATGCTAAATTTCATTTTCAGTCCTTCAAGTTTGAGAAATATCATCTTGGCTATTAAACTTCATGTTCCTTTTTCATAGGTTAAAACTTCATGTTCCTTATAGGATGGTACTTGTTCCATCCCCGATATCATACACTCCCATAATTTACCCGTTACAAAGAATCAATTAAATTCAAAGAAAGATGCAAGCAATAAAAATAAGGTATACACAACACAACCAAAGACAGGTGAATAATATCTGATTAAAACCTGATACCTCACTAAAGATTATCATCTCGTTAGGAGAATTTAACAAGAACTCAAACATTAACATAGGTCGTGTGCAACTGTAAATACAAATAAAGGTAACCTAGAAAAATTGTGTAATATTTTGTGATTGATAACTACATTATTGCTTTTGCTTTGTTTTGCATGATCACAATCAAAAATGGCGGTTAAACCACAAGGGTGGTACCTGATTGGTTTGAGCTTAGTTTTAAATGTCAAAAGTACCAGAAGGTCTCAAGTTAAAATCCAATAAAGAATAAAAATTCCCATTGTGGTCACAGAGGTTCAAATGTGGTGACTTCGGGCTATCTGCAAAGCAGGTGGTCGTCCTGGGATTAGTCGGTTCGCATAGCGGGTTGGATATCCATGTTAATCAAAAATGACGGTTAAAGATCAAATTAATTATAGTAAAGGCAGTTTGTATAAACGTTGTTCTGGGGGGATCATACCCGTTGGTAGCGGCTTCAAAAATAAGTGACTTCATAAATTCAGGGACTGAAACGAGTATATAATAATGATGAGGTGCCAAATGTGTAGATTTTGGTTCTATTACTTTTGAAAAGGAAAAGTCGGTTACATTTGCATTTTTTGCAAAGGCTTTCTTTGGAGGTACCATTGACTATATCTGGACTTCCGACGTGGCAACCCATATTTGACTAAAATTGTCGATTACACACCCAATTAAACATCAGCAACGAATAACCGAATGCCACGTTGCAACGATGACTCATGATGTCTAGATAAATGTTGACTTTTGACTTTTGGGAGATGGAAGTGGAACTGATTTTAGGTTCTCATCGTCGTTATCGTTAAGTTAGCCGGGTGAAGCGGCGGAGTGGCGTCGTTAATTCTGTTCACATGTAAATCACGTGATTCTTTTGTTTTGACCTGATTAGACTCCTTAATCCTTCGTTTTATTCAATAATCGATTCAGACTAATACCAAAAACCCGGTTAAGGAACGTGATTGTGAAAAGGTCGACGACGGTGCCATGCAGTCGGCAATCGCCCTCGCCGTGCAAGAACAGCATCATGACTTCTCGGAACACTCCATTCTGTTCTACTTGGTTCCGGCCACTTCTTTTGCTAATTCAGTGGTGGATTTAAATGGGTAGGGTTCTAATTTGACTACCAGTCTGAGGGTGGTAATCAGACCTTAAAAGAACAAATGATTGATGGCATTATCAATTTCTCTGCAGTTACATTGAAATTGCAGGGATGATGAAGAGAGGTTTATGCAAAACTTGTTTTCTGGATTGTAAATTTTTTGGTCTTCCAACGGGGCTTGAGATATGGGCTTTGTTTGGTCTTCAATTGGGCTCCCCTAAACAACTTGGCCTAATAAGTCATTTCCAAGTCCCAGCCATATCAAAGTTTATATAAAATGTTTAGGGATGTGAACGAACACGAACAGTGCCTTATTCATGTTCGTTCGTTTAACTTAACCAAACAAATGAATAGTAAACGAACGAAAGTCTTTGTGTTCGTGTTCATTTGTTTAGAAACAAGGTGTGTTTATGTTCGTTTGTTAACATGCTTAACGAACGAACATAAACGAATAGACCTAAACGAACACCGCTACTTGTCATTCAATTAATTATTACACACAATTATCCATAGTTTAAACATACACAAAACAATTATCATTCATCAACCATCATTTGAACAAAAAAACAAATCACCATCATCATTTACAATAGTGGAAAGGTAAAATTTTCAAACAAGACAGAATGATGATAAAATTTAAATCTAAATAAATTCTAAAAAGTTAAAACTTAAATAAATATTATTTGAATTCAAACTAAATAAATAAAAGATTGTGTATTAAGTTTAATATATAAACAAACGTAATTGAACGAACGTTCACGAATATAAATGAACGAACGAGACTCTTGTTCATGTTCATTCATTTATTAAATAATCGAACTTCTCATCAAACGGTTCATAAACAATTCGCAAAACGCTCGGTTTGTTTACAACCCTAAAAATGGTGTTGGTTTGACACAAAAATGGCTGTCAAAGTTAAATATCATGACTATGTTCAAAATTAACCAACAACACATACTTTTTGATCCATTTATTATGTGAATTACGATTATGTGATTGGTACGTACCATTCTTGTAAAGAGTTTTTGAGTTTTCCAACAAATTTTGTATTGATATAATTTATTCTTGTTTAAATATAATATTGTCGTATAGTACACAGTTTGTTCACTTCATATCTTACTTGTTTCATCGTATTACAACCCCCTTTAATTATAACATATGTTTATAGAGATAATATATTCATTTATTATGATTTGGATATTTATGAAAAATTACTATAGTTCATTTATTATGATCAACGTTTTATATTAAGAAACGACCAATATATTCATTTAACTAGATATTTATCATACTAGATTAATGGTTAATATTGGTCTGCAAAGTTTCTACTAATATAACAGTTTGTAAATGATCCCCCCCCCCTTACGAGAAACATACTAGACAACAGGACAAGAGAGAAATACAAATCACACAGAAACGAGACCCAACTCAATGTTGCAAAGCGTGGGGTTTCCATCATCTGTTGCATAGCATGAAAACCACGACACACTATTATTTGTTTCTGATAACGGTTACTTGTTTTTTTTTTTTATTCGTATTTCACGCAAGTTGGTCCTGTTAACCGAGAATCATGACTTTTTGATTTTATTTCGATTTAATGTTTTTTTGTTTCATTTAGGTTTAAAGTTTAATTTAAAGTTTTCGAATAAGGGATTATGATTGTATTGACAAATAAAATGATCATTATGGAAAAACAAAATAAAAGAAAATGATAGAAAATAAAAAATACCTCATAAAACAGTGAATGGCAGTTAATAAGAAAGAACAAACCCAACACAAAATCGCAAAAGATATATGGACTTAGGATTACGTGAGATTAACATGTTTTCGTGAGACAATTTTTTTACACTTGAAACTTCACAGTAAAACATTGCGAAGGTAATCTTCATAATGCTTTGTTATGAAGTTTCAAGTATAAAAGTATGATCTCACGGTCTTATAAAAACATTCAGATCACGTGAACTCAACCCTAGGTATATAAAATTATCAAAAGATAAAAAAGATGGAATCCCTAATTTTACCAAAAATCCATTATATACTCCAATAAAAAGAAAACAAAAGTATTAATATGCCTCAACACCCCAGGAGTTGTCTTCCGCAACTCGAATCCGTACTGTCCCACTGAACCCCCCTCGCCCCTGCTCAGCTTTAGATTCACGAGGAACTAAACCCTAAGCGATGATCGCCAATCTCACTAAAATCGAGGCAAGCTTCAGCAATTGATCGGAAAGGTTACATACATTCCGTTCAAGCTAGGTTATATCTTTATCTCTTTGAAACTTGCCGATCATCGGCTGTCGTACGAATATTGTATTATAAGATAATTTTATTCGTTGTTCATCTCGTTTTCCTCCAGCTAGTTCTATGTAGGAATGATTGCTGATTAGTACTGTTCCGTTAATCATTTTAATTTTATTGACAATCATGCAGCAATTTGTGTTAGCGCTCTCCAATGTTTGCATGAAAATCATTATGATACATGTTATCATTATTTGTTTATTACTTGAAACTTTAAGGATCAGGGTTGCCTGCTTTTGGGCTGTTTTATGTTGTCGTTTTATATGTTGTGGATACGTTGGATATTAGCTTTGCTGCTGTTTGTAGAAATTTCAGAACATTCATCTAAACTCAATGAAATTCAAGTTTGACACATGGTTTGGTTTATCTTTGGCTGAAGTGATTAGAGTAGACGATGTTTGTTAATTGATTCATTGACTGTTTGCTTTCCTTTCTTTTAGATCGACATATGTTGATATTTGTTGAGGCTTTAAACCAAATGCTGATATTTTTGTCTAGGCTTCAAACCATTTTTACTCCATTTACACTAAAAGAATTGTTAAAAAACTGAAACATTTTGAGTTACAAACGAGTAGCTAAATCTATATAAACTTTGTTTATTAGCGTACTAGGTTGGAACCAAAAAGTTCTTATATGTCTTGTTGGAACATAGGTTGTAACTTGCAATGGATGTAAAAGCAGATAAGAAATTACCCAACTTGCATTTAAGCACTTGTGTCCAGTTGCTCTTTTTAGTTTTTTACATTGTTTGAAAGTGCACCTTAGCCTCATTGCAAAATAAAGTAATATACAAATAGATATATAGGCATTTCCGAAGACATGACATTATACAAGAGTTTGTGGAGACGCACAATTAGGGTAGCTTTTGTGTAAGCCTGTGGGTACTGTGGACAGGGGAGTGAGTCAAAATGGTAGCAGGTTGGTTGGAGGAGCTAACATCTGGGCATCTAAGTCCCTAGGTAAGTAGGTAGGTAGGTGGGGTAAGCCTGAAGTAGCTTTTGTGCAAGTTTTTTGAGAATGGTCTTTTGGGTCACTTGCGTGTTAGGTTGCTTGGCTGATTACTAATTTCCCTTTTGCTTTTGTTGCTCCTACTTGTTCTAATCCTATTTCACGGTATTGATTTGCGTACTTTCTCTGCTTGTTCAATATTATTTCATGTTATTTAACATGTGTACTTCGTTTCCCAAGTTCATCTCAAGCTTTTTATCAACTCATCGGAACTTCATATCTTGCATTTGTGAGTCCTACACTTTGCAAAACTTGTTTGTAAATCTCAAGCKGGGGGGGGGGGGATCTTCAGGGGAAACAACCTCTTTACCCTTTGGGTAGAGGAAAAGCTGCATATATCTTAACAAACAGATATAGAGTATATATTAAAGCCTCAGTGAATTTTCCATCTTGTGCTGAGTTTCATGCACACGCATATCTTCAAAGGTCAACCACTTGTGTCAATTGTCATCAGCCGTTGGAAGCTGATCTTGCTGCATTAACTTTACAAGTAGATAGATATACCAGATTTCCCCTTCCAATTGAAGTTAATAAAGCCTTCTATATATGATCCCAATGAGAAAAAAGGCACATATTAATATAAAAAAGGAAGATGCTTTACATAAATTCTAGATGCATTCCAGAAAATTTCTTTTAACTGAACCACAAGTACATTATATTAGGGCTGCAATGTTTGCTTTAAATTTTTCTCTGTTTTCTGAGCATTCATGAATTCGTTCTAGAGCTTCCGTTTATTGCTCTTGAGGTCTAATAGTTGTTATTATCATCATTAACATTCAATTATCAGCAAGGCTATACTAGTTGGTTCCCTGATTTTCTTCCCGGTTGTTGTTGTAAACTATTTAAAGATTCATTACATATATTGTGGTTACACTAACATGTAGAATATAAATTCTGCTTGCTGAGCTTTAGATTGAAGTCTTAAATCTGAAATAGGAAATGGACTTACATAGTTACATGTAGAATGTTTCCTTAATTAGTAGATGGATCATGTTGTTTTCTTCCCCTTTTACCATCTTTAATATTTAAATATTTAATTTTTCCCACAGATTCTTGACGTGAGGGTGCATTAGGTGGCTTCTGGTAGTGAAGAGGTTTTAAGAGAATCTGTATATATTGATGCAGATGGACACCTATTGTAACAATAATGGTATCATGGAATCAAAATTAACGCCGGATCTGAGTGAGAAACTAATAGAGGATTTCTGTAAAAAAGCATCCACATCCTTTTTCGAACAACATGGGCTAATAAGCCACCAGATTAACTCTTACAACGACTTCCTAAGAAATGGAATTCAAAATGTCTTTGATTCTTTGGGTGAGATCAATGTTCAGCCTGGACATGACCCCTCTGAAAATGAAACTGTACGGAGATATGCCTCTGTCAAGCTTGGAACGGTCACCTTAGAGAGGCCAATGTTTTGGGCAGGTGAGAACTTCTCAACTGAAAGTGGTTCAGAGTACCTGATCCTCTTGCCTAAACATGCTCGCCTTCAAAATATTACCTATTCATCCAGGATGAGTGTTCAGATTCAGTATGAGGTCAGTAGGCCGTTGTGTTTTTCAGTTACTCTTAAAAGTTTGTGCTTGTAGGTGCTAGTTGTTTGCCCCACAATTCATATTATGATGGCTGATTGTTGAGGTAAAGTGCCATAATTACGACATGAAGTCTTGTTGTTGTTGTTATGCAATTTAGAGTTTGGTACATGGGTTCACCTCAAAATGTTGATGGGAAGAGAAGTCTAAGAACCTTGGGATTAAGAATATGAACAAAAGCAAATCAAATATATAAAAAGGAAGAGAAGTTTAAGAACCTTGGGGTTGATGAATAATGAATGCAGAACTGCTGATATACTTTTTTTATATATTTGATTTGCTTTTGTTCATATTATCAACCCCAAGGTTCTTGCACTTATCTTCCTATCAACATTTTGAGGTGGACCCATGTAGCAGATCTTTGATGCAAGTTTTCTTATTTCAATTCATTTATAGTGTTCTAATGTACCAGATATTTCGTGGTCTTGTGACTATGCAGGTATATACTCAAGAGACGGTTGAAAGTGATATCCTGGAAACTGGAAAAGAGCACGTGGGGAAAAAGGTTTTATTGGAAGATAGTAGAGATATTACCATTGGCAGGTTACCTGTGATGGTCAAGTCTGACTTGTGCTGGATGAGCGACATAACAAAAGGCGATTGTGACTTTGATCATGGAGGGTATTTCTTAATCAAGGGATCTGAGAAGGTAGCAGGATACCCCTCCTTTGACCCCTTTCAATCTTGTGAAATTATATTGTGTCCTCAATTTGTGTTGTTGATCTAAAGTAAGTTTGGCAAGCAACTGTAATATGATGCTCCCCATCTTTCTTTTTCCCACTTGAAATACAACTGAGATTCCAAGGTACTGTAAAGCTTTCTAATTGTTTTGACTAGATGTGGGTCTCAAGTGTAATTTCTCAAAACTTGTGGGTCCCTTGGAAGTAGTTCTGTGCTGAACCTTTTTAGGTGTAATGATGCAAATGTATGATGTAGTATTTTTCCCACACTTTTATGTTTGTTCTTCTCTTTGTCTTGGATAGCTATTCGGATGCATCATTTGCTACTTAAGGCGAGAGCTTAGATTCTCTAAACAAATTATGTACAAATTGATTAACAACTTCCATTTGCTATGTGTTGTTGCCCTTACTTTGCTCGTAATGACAGTTTCTCGCACAGTTTTACTCGGCCTTTGCACTTAGCAATGACATATCCATGAGTGGCACTAAGGATCCTTTTCAATTCTTTGCTTTAAAAATGCTTGTGGCAATTGATATATGTCACGAAGATTTTATCTACTTCTTGAAGTACTTCATACATCTTGTCCAGTATTATTGCAGACTTTCATTGCACAAGAGAAATCTTGTTTGAAGAGACTTTGGTTGATTAACAATCCAATCTGGACGGTCAAATATCGCTCATCTATTGGAAAGGAAAGGGTCTACGTTAAGCTTCTTGACACTCATATTAGAGGAGGGGGGAAAGTCATTACAGTGTATTTGTTTAACTCGGTGGAGATTCCTATATGGATCTTGTTCTTTGCTCTTGGTGTATCCTCTGACAAAGAAGTGGTTGATTTAATTGATGCTGAAGCTAAAGATAATACTATTGTCAATACACTTCTTGCATCAATTTACGATGCTGAACAGAAGTTTAAGGACTTCAGGAAGGAGGGGAAGGCTTTTAATCATCTTTCAGAGGCACTTAGGCAGAAATGGAGCTACACACCTAAACAAACCTTCAAAAGCTGCATCGAAGAAATTTTGTTTCCTAATCTTCATGGGTTTAACCGAAAAGCTAGGTTTCTCGGGTATATGGTGAAATGTCTGTTGGAAGCTTATACTGGTCGTAGGAAAGTTGATGATAGAGATAGTTTCAGAAGCAAGCGGGTGGAATTGGCAGGCGAGCTACTTGAGAGAGAACTAAGAGTTCACTTGAAACATGCTGTTAGGCGAATGATAAAGGCTTTGCAAAGAGATCTTTGGGGAGAACGCCCTTTACACCCAATTGAGCACTACTTGGATGCATCAGTTGTTACTAATGGTCTTTCAAGGGCATTTTCAACAGGTGCTTGGGTACATCCTTATAAGCGGATGGAGAGAATCTCTGGTGTGGTGGCCCATCTTAGGAGAGCAAATCCTTTGCAGATGATGGCTGACATGAGGAGAACACGTCAGCAGGTTCAGTATACAGGGAGGGTTGGAGATGCCAGATACCCGTAAGTAATTAGAGTCTTTTTGCTTAACTTTATTGTTATTTTAAATCTTGTAGTTTTCCTTAACCCAACTTGAATAGGGATGTTACTATGTCTATCTATGTCTTTAGCTGAAATGTTACCATACAGTTTGCCATGTGATTTTTTTTTTTACTTTTTGTTTATATGTTAATACTCTCTGATAAAGTGAAATTTTGCTTATAATGCTGGATGCAGGCATCCTTCACACTGGGGAAAAGTCTGTTTTATGACTACTCCAGATGGAGAGAACTGTGGATTGGTAAAGAATTTCTCCAGTACTGGTCTTGTGAGCACTAACGTCCCAGAAAATCTGTTTGATGTATTAATCAAGTGCGGAATGAAAGAATTAGTTGACGACATTTCAACATCACTTGGTGGAAAGCACAAAGTTTTTGTTAATGGAGATTGGGTTGGAATATGTGATGATGCTGCTTCACTTGTTGATGTCATTAGAAGCAAACGGCGCAGAAAGGAAATACCGTATCAGGTTCTCAATCTCTCTATCTTGTTAGTCTGTTAGCATGAACTTTATCTCAAATCGTGTTATTTTTGTAGGTGGAGATTAAACGAGATGAGAAGCATGGGGAAGTGCGTATATTCTCTGATGCTGGAAGGCTTATGCGGCCTCTTTTATTCGTTGAGAATTTAAAAAAGATTAAATTTCTGAAAGGGTCTGATTATTCCTTTCAAAATCTTTTGGATAATGGAATTATTGAGCTCATTGGGACCGAAGAGGAAGAAGATTGCTACACAGCATGGGGAGTTCAGTATCTTTTTCATGATAAAAGTTCACATCTTTACACACATTGTGAGCTTGATATGTCGTTTCTCTTGAGTTTGAGCTGTGGAATAATTCCTTTTGCAAATCACGATCATGCAAAACGAGTCCTCTTCCAGGCTCAAAAACACTCTCAACAGGCCATAGGATATTCGACAACTAATCCAAACATTAGAGTCGATACCCTCAGTCATCAGTTATTTTACCCCCAAAAGCCACTTTTTCGAACTTTTCTTTCTGATTGTCTTGGAGCACCCAAATATAGTAACAGCCATAACGGAGGAATGCAGTCAAGAGATGAATATTACAATGGACAATGTGCTATTGTTGCTGTAAATGTTCACCTTGGTTACAACCAAGAGGATTCATTGGTAATGAATCGTGCTTCACTAGAGCGTGGTATGTTTAGATCAGAACATGTTAGAAGCTACAAGGCGGAAGTTTGTAACAAGGAATCCTTTGGGAAGAAGGGAAAGCTTGAGGATAACATAATCTTCGGGAAAATCCAAAGTAAAATCGGCCGTGTAGACAACCTAGATGAAGATGGATTTCCATATGTTGGTGCCAACTTAAACAGTGGTGATATTGTCATAGGAAAGTATGCAGAATCAGGGGGTGATCATAGTATCAAATTGAAGCATGGTGAAAGAGGATCCGTGCAGAAAGTTGTACTATCTGCTAATGATGATGGAAAAAACTTCGCCACCGTATCTCTGAGACAGGTAAGGTTTTCCCTAAACACCTTCTCTTAACATCTGAATTCCAACGTTTCTTGAACAATGAGATAGCTTTCTTATTATGTCAGGACTGGACACGGTAGGAAAGTGATTTTGGCTATCTTTCAAATGTCTAAGTTAGCTTTTTTTTTGAGCTTATTGAAAAAGTCTCGTTTCGTTAGCCATAAGCTACTGTTTTGAAATTCTACCTCAAGTAGGGTCCAAGGGCTTTTTTCCATTTGCTTTTCCAATTACACCCCTTGTATTTTTCCAATTAATTCGTTAACATGTCCTTTTAGGTCATTTTACATTGTCATCTAGCTTCTCAACTTCTATCAAATGTTTAAGTTAGCTTATTTTTGAGCTTATAGAAAAAGTCTCTTTTGATTAGCCATAAACTAGCGTTTTGAAATTCTACTTTAAGTATGGTCCAGGGGCTCTTTTTCCACTTTTTCCCATTTATTCCCCTTACATTTTTCCTGTAATCTGTCAACCTGTCTTGTTGGGTCATTTACATTTTCATCTAGCTTATCACCTAGTTTTACCAAACATGACCAGTTTATGTGCTAGATTATCAGCCAACTGTTAGCTCATCAGCTATTTTGCCAAACATAGCCTAAATATTCTGCAGTAAGTGATGAAAACATAGAGTATTGGGATTTTCTGAGCCAAATTATGACAATGAGCAAATACGTAGTCATAAACTGAAAACTTCTCACAAATGGAGTTGTTGCTATTTTCATTGAAAGGATTCAAATGTGGATTTTAAAAGAGCTTTCTGGGGTACAAATTGTTTAATATACACCTTCAATAGATAGTAGCATCATCATCCCATGTGAACCATCATATTTGTACAAATTCTTGATTGTTGTAGGTACGTTCACCAAGTCTCGGCGACAAGTTCTCAAGCATGCATGGGCAGAAAGGGGTTTTGGGGTTTTTGGAGTCTCAGGAGAACTTTCCTTTCACGATAGAAGGAATAGTTCCAGATATTGTAATAAACCCGCATGCGTTTCCTTCTCGCCAAACTCCAGGTCAGCTGCTTGAGGCTGCATTGGGCAAGGGGATTGCCTTGGGTGGCTCATTGAAATATGCCACCCCTTTTTCTACCCTCTCTGTTGACGCCATAACCGACCAACTTCACAGGTAAGTAGTTTACAAATATCAAAATGCAGATTTAATTGTAAACTAAACCAAACAAACCCAATATATCCCACCCGAAAGTAGGATACTGGGATCTTTTTTTGGGGGGGGGGGGTGTACGCAAACCATGGACCTTAAAACATTCAATGCTTTGCACAACTTCAAGTCTTCAGCCCTGTTCTAATACCAACGGGTAAATCCCACAAGGAGTAGGGTCTAGGGGTAGAATTGGTTACACCTGGTTGAGCGTGCTGATCCTAGCTGGTGCGGTGTGGGGTCGATCCTTTTCTTTCTTTGTTCTTTTTTTAGTTTTTCATAATCTATCATAATATTAAAAAATACATTTGGAAGATGTGCTGCTTACAATTGCCTGATTTCCAGGTGTGGATTTTCAAGATGGGGGAATGAGAGAGTTTACAATGGGCGTACAGGGGAAATGGTTGAGTCTCTGGTGTTCATGGGACCCACCTTTTACCAGAAGCTGGTCCACATGTCGGAGGACAAGGTCAAGTTCCGTAACATCGGGCCCGTCCATCCTCTCACACGACAACCGGTGGCGGACCGCAAGCGTTTTGGTGGGGTCAAGTTTGGGGAGATGGAGAGGGACTGCATCATAGCCCATGGTGCAACCGCCAACCTATACGAGCGCCTCTACACACTCTGTGATGCTTCACATATGCACATCTGCAGGAAATGCAACAACATGGCGAGCGTGATCCAGAGGTCGGTCCCACGTGGACCCAAGATTCGTGGACCCTACTGCCGTTTCTGCGAGTCCGTTGAAGATGTCGTGAAGGTGAACGTGCCATATGGGGCCAAATTACTTTGGCAGGAGCTCTTCAGCATGGGAATTGCTATCGAGTTCAATTCGGAGCTTTGCTGAATGACTTGTTTCCGCATGTATAAATTAGGCATGTAATTTGCTGTAAGCAGAAACTGGATAAGGTGCTCTAACTCTTAATTGTACTTGTTCATGACTTAGGGTGATTGGATTTGCATTTTGAAACTGATTATTTTGACTTAAAAGTCATAATAATCTGTTTTAATGTGTGGGTAAAGTAATTATTCTGATTCTGATTCTGATTATTTTGGGGTCAAAAAACTAGGTTTTGATAATCAGTCTCATACTGGCTGTAACAAAATTCTTATCTAAGAAAAAGTAAAATTACTTATTTGTATCCTTTTTTTGACCTTAATTTATATATTTTTCAAATATGTTTTATACATTTAATTAAATAACAATGATGGAAGAGGGTCTGATGACAGGGACGACGAATATAAGTATGGTTTGAAAAAAATAAAATGAAATTGTAAAAAGACGATATCAATTATGATTTAGCAAAAGTAAAACTATGATGACAATACATGTAATTATTTTGTATTTCCAACAACCATGGGGAAGAAATTCATGGTTTACTCATTTAGAAATGTTTCATCCATCTTTCTTAATCGATGAAATTATGATAATATATATAAAAAAAATGTCATTTTTCTGGTCTTTATCCATTAGTTTGATAAATAATTGCATAAGATTGGTGGAATTTGGATGAGACACAATGATTAAAATAGCTATTTTTAGATGTTGGTTTTGTCTCGGTGTAACAAAAGTTTCTCAACTAGGTCGACAAATGCAAGGACCAAATATATTAATTAGTCCAACCACTTCCGCAATTTTCTGAACCAGGTCTACAAATTGCAAACCAATAACTTACGAAGCTATATCTAGTTTATAGATTTGGTCACTACACTTGTGAACCTAGTTCATAAACTTTTTTTTTCTTTTACATTGTTCCTACTGTAAATTACGGACCTGCCACTTCGAACCTAGTGATTTTAGAAGAGAATTGACTATTTTAATTAATTATACTTTGGATGATGCCCAATAGGCCAATAGAGGTTGGTTATTATACAACCCTTGACATTTGTACACCCAATACAACACAATCTCAACCGTCCATTTCATTTGATTAATATGTGATTTCATAGAAGTTTTGA